TCACACACCACAAGTCCCACGTGCCAGGGAGGCCGCTTTGGAGGAGAGGGATGGGCTCTTGGCCCCCACGTTACTGCTTCCTGTGTCTGGGCCCTGGGGCCCCCTCATCCCTAGTAAGGAAGTAGTGATGGTACCTGACTTGTAGGCTTGTCCTGGGGGTGTGCAGTGAGCACATAGTGGCAGTAGGCATGGATTCCCTGCAAAGTAAGGAGGGCAAAGCTGCAGGCTCCTCCAAGGCTGGGGAGGGCCTGAGCTCTGGGTTCAGGTGGTCACATAGTTTTGACAATTTTGCAAATGTGAGGTATTTTAGCCACAGTTGGTCAAGCCCACTGCTAGGGCTGCCATAACAAAGTACCATAGACTATATGGCACAGAACTTATTTTCTCACAATTCTGGAGGCTATAAGTCCATGATCAAGGTGTGGGCAAGGTTGGTTTCCTCTGAGGCCTCTCTCCTTGGCTTGCAGATGGCCGTCTCCTCCCTGTGTCCTCACGTGGCCTTCCTGTTGTGTGTGTCTGTGTCTTAATCTCCTCTTCTTACAAGGACACCAGTCATGTCGGATTAGGAAACATCCTAAAGACCTCATTTACCTTAATTAGCTCATTAAAGACCTTGTCTTTAAATACAGCCAGTGTTCGAAGTGCTGGGGCCTAGGACTACAACATATGAATCTGGGGGACACAGTTCAGCCCATAACACCCACCGTCTCTTTCCCACTGGTTTCCCATCATCATACTCCTCATGTTGGGAGGTGCTGGCGTGGCTGAAGGCATTTTGGGGATGTAGCTGAAGGGAAGTTGAGTGGAGGATGTCTTGACGTGAGTTTAGTGGGCTATGTTTATATGGTCCTCAGCCAATCTGTGTAGGTCGAGTTATTGCTCCCTGAGCAGATACGATGGCTTCCAGGTGTGCCCTTCCCCACACTGTGCCAATCCAGGGCCACCTGATGTCTGAGTAAATGGGTAGAGGAGGAACGAGGTTTAAAAGGTAATTTTTCCAATGGGGAGACCTGGATTTGCAAACCTTCAGAGTCAGAAAGCAACCTTGGAATCACCTAATCCAGGGCCTCTCAGGCCTCAGCAGACATTGGAATCATGGGGGCACTTAGTAAAATACCGATTCCTGGGCCCTGCTATTCCAAGGCCCCACTTCAGCAAGATGTGGAGGAGCCCAGGCATCTGCATTTTTATATGTTTCCACATGTGCCTGTGAGGGGCACCAAGGTTTTGGAACTGCTGGCAGAGTCATCTTCTGGAAGATTTGTACAATTTCCAGAAGACTTATTTGAATCTGTACAATTGCCTTTTGTCCCCCAAATTAATAAAATCACAATGAGGAAACTGAAAATAAAAGCAAGTCTTCCAAATCCTAGTGTTCATTTATGAAACAATGATAGAGGTCTTTCCAAATTTGACAACAATCCCAACAATGTACATGAATACTAATAATGAGTTATGAAGCTGAAAGAAAGTTTTCTAATTAACGTTTTATAAAAATCCATCATTAGGGACTTCCCTGGTGGTCCAGTGGTTAAGACTCCATGCTCCCAATGCAGGGGGCCTGGGTTCAATCCCTGGTCAGGGAACTAGATCCTGCATGCTGCAACTAAAAGATCCCACATGCTGCAACGAAGATCCCATGTGCTGCAACTAAGACCCGGAGCAGCCAAATAAATAAATATATTTTTTAAAAAATCCATCTTTAGAGGAGTACTATGAATTACTTTCTATTTTCTCCATAGAAAAAAATATTGCGAAATTATTGTCCTATGAAGAGACAATCCCAAAAGATGAAAAAGCCAAAAAAATGTAGAGAAAGATATTATAAAGGTGGATATCAGTTAACTAAAACTTATATTATTTTTCTGGATTTTTAAAATGCTTGTGATATCTGACAACTTGAAACGTTTAAACATTTGTTGTGATGTTTAAAATTATTCTAAATACATATTCACTTTTGTACTTAATTTTGTATTGTAATTTTAAAATTTCTTTTCCTTAAAGAGGACCTCCCAAATTGCGGAAGCTCCAGGTCCTGTGAAACCTGGTCCACCCCTGCTAGTTGCCAGCTCGAAATCCATTCTCCCCTCTTGCTCACCAACAGAACCCTGATTTTGTTTCAGGCAACAATGAACCCTCCTTACTTTTTTGTTTTTTATATTTCTATGAAGCCAGGGGTGGCCATGTGACACTGACTTGGTTCAAAAACAGAAGTCTCTGGGAAGAGTTTCCAGGAAAGTGGTTAAAGGGAGCCAACTCAGTTGAGTTATGCCTTTTGCCCTTCCCTTTCTTTTTTTTCCTTAAAGATTATTTATTTATTTATTTTTGGCTGCATCAGGTCTTCGTTGTGGCATGCAGGATCTTTCGTTGTGGCGCGCGGACTCTTCCTTGCAGCGTGCAGACTTCTCTCTAATTGTGGCATGCGGTTTTTCTCTTCTCTAGTTGTGGCGCACAGGCTCCAGGGCGGGTGGGCTCTGTAGTTGTGGCTCGCGGGTTCCAGAGTGTGTGGGCTCTGTAGTTTGTGGCACACAGGCTCTCTTGTTGAGGCGCGTGAGCTTGGTAGTTGTGGCACACGGGTTTAGTTGCCCCCTGGCATGTGGGATCTTAGTTCCCTGACCAGGGATCGAGTCCATGTCCCCTGAATTAGAAGGCAGATTCTTTACCACTGGACCACCAGGGAAGTCCCTTCCCTTTCTTCTTGACTGGTATAGTGATGAGATGCTGGGGTAAGGGCGACCATCTTGCCACCATGAGGCTATAATGAGGAAGAAAATTGTATGCTGAGGATGAAGCAGTGCAAACGGGTAAAAGAAGGGATGGCTTACCTTTGGGTTTCTTGTTGAGTGAGAAAAAAAAATTTGTTTAGGCCACTGTATAGTTGGCATTTTGATTACTCACAGCCAAATATAATCCCTAACTATTGAAATATGCATGTATCAATGTACCCCAAACTGAGTGGCTTAAACAAGAGAAATTTATTGTTTTTCAGTTCTGGAAGCTAGAAGTCTGAGATCAAGGTATCAGCATGGCCATGCACCCTCTGAAGGCGCCAGGGAAAGGTCTGTTCCAGGGCTCTGTCCTAGCTTCTGGGGGTTTGCTGGCAATCTTTGGCATTCATTGGCTTACTGATGCATCACTCTGGTTTCTGCCTTCGTGTTCTCATAGCATTCTCCCTGTGTGTGTCTCTGTGTCTAAATCTCCCCTTTTTATAAGGACACCAGACATATTAGATTAAGGCCCACCTCACTCCAGTACAACTTCATCTTAACAAATTAATATGCAATGACCCTATTTCCAAAAAAGGTCACATTCTGAGATATGGGAGTTAAGACCTCAACGTTTGATTTTTTTTGGAATGCAAGTCAACCTATAACACCAGGGCCATCCCTGATGCCTCTTCTCTCTGGGTGCCTCCTGTCTAAGCCTTGATCAAGTCTTGCCAATTTGATGCTTGACCCTCTCTGATGCTCCTCTTCCCTTGCCACCAAAGCCACGCCCACCCACCTCTGTGATCCACACTTGCCTTCTTCTTCAGTCCACAGTCCATAGGCAGCCAGTGCATCTGTTAATGAGAGTCTCATCTGTTCACAGATATTCCAGTTCTTCTCATCTACTGGGAACACAGGAGGTCTACACTTCTCACCCTGATTCAAGTCAGGAATGGCCATGTGACTTGCTTTGGCCAATGAGCCATGAGGGGAAGTGATGTGTCTCTTCCAAGTGGAAACTTTAAAAGCCGGTACAATTTGCCACCTTTCATTCAAACTGCCAAAAATATTGTGGGTACAATACACAGTTTCAGATAGAGCCTCCATCAGCTTGGGCTCCTGATTCACTAGAGCAACCAGAGCCCCCTGTTGGCCCAGGTGGGATGTGTAGCATGAGCAAGATGGTGAGATTTGAGTTTGTTCCTGGGGCTTTACATAGCTCATCCTGACATGTACATTTTAAAAATATGAATCTGACAGTGCTCCTATAGACCACCTTTCCTGGTGAGACAGTCTCAGGATAAATTCCAAATTCTTTCCCATAGCCTATGAGAGCTTACATGTGCTGGCCTCTGGCCACCTTCCCAGCCTCAACTTTCCCCACTCTCCCGCTTACCTCTTTGTGGCACAGAGACACCCACTTTTTTTTTAGATTCTCAAATATGCCACATTTTCCTCCAGTCAAGGGGTTTAACACGTGCTGTTCCCTTTATGTGGACGCTCTTTCCTCCCTTCTCTTTGCTAGAATGTAAGCTTCAGGAGGGCAGCTGTTTGCTTTCTGTTTTTTCACTGCAGTATCTCTAGATCTTAATGGCTATCTGGTACATAGGACACATACCGGTACATAGGATATGTACCTGGTACAATAAATATTTGTGAAACGAAACTGAATGAATGAATCTTTGCCTAGCTAAATGCTACCCTTCCTTCAAGCCTCAGCTGGACATCACATCGTTCATTTTACTATTGTTTGGTGATGCTGTTTTGCCTAGTAGTGAAGCCTCTGGGCTCAGGAGTAAGACTCCTGGCTCTGCCATTTGCTGGTTGTGTTACCTTCAACATATTCCTTTAACCTCTGACTTTCAAATTGTTATCTATACAAAGGGGGAAACATAGTACCATGGTGGTTGTGTCTTCTGGACCACGGATGGCCCAGGATGGCCACAGTCTCAGGTTATAAATATCAATACACTCTCTCCAAACTGGGTGTGAGTCCCCTGAGGGCAGGAACGAGCTTCCTGGGACCCTTAGCTTTAGATGGAACCGTCAGAGTCAGCCTCGACCCAGCGCTGGGCAGAGCGGCTAGGCTGATGGAGCTCAGCAGTAGGTCCCCCAGCCCCTCCCTGGCACGAGCCGCTGGGCCCACTGCGCACGCTCAGGCCTCCCCTAAACTCTTGAAGCAGCAGAACAGCTCCCGGCCTCGGCCCCTGGCGGGGGCGGGGCAAGCGCCGGGCCCACCCCTCCGACTGGCAGGAGGACGGACCAACCGGAGGGGCGCCCCGGGTGAGGGGCGGGGCCGCGCTGCGAGCCGGGCGCCGGGCTGCCGCGGGAGCTGCAGCCGGGAGTGTGCGGCACGCGCTGACCGGCTGCCCTAAGCACGGTCACCCGCGTCGCTGCATCTCAACCCCCGCCCCGCCGGGCCGCGCGCGCACATCAGGCCGTCTTCCTCATTTGCTTCTTACGATTTTTTTTTTTTTGCATGCATCCTTTTTCTGTTCCGTTTTGTCCTTTTTAAGGCGGGGGCGGCGGCAGCGTAAGCTCTGGGCGGGGAGGGGGGCGGCCGGAGGATGCGGTGCGGGGCTGCGCTCGCTACGCCCGCTGCTGCTGCTGCCCGGCTCGGGCCTGAGCACCGAGCAGGTGGGTACAGGTGCGCCGGGGGGCGGGGGGCGCGCGATGGCCAAAGGGGAGCCGCGGACTCCACGACCGATGGGCTGACCCATTGGCAAGGGACGCAGTGACCAATGCCGCCCCGCCCCGTCTCCCACCTTCCCCGCCCCTCCTCCAGCCTTCGCGCCCCCATTTGATTACAGTGCCACTCTTGCATCTCACCTCTGAGGTCCCGCACCTTTCCGTTCCCATCCCCCAATCCCCTCCAAATCCCCCTGCAGTCTCCCAGCCGGAGGACTCTGCGTCGCCTTCCTACATACACCCTCTCCTTCTCCCGCCCCCAGCCCTCTCTTTCTTATGCCACCCCCATTTCCACTCCTCTCCCCATTCCGTCTCCAAGCTAAGGAGGGGGAGGGGGATCCACCGGGTGCCTCCCGGGAGTGGCGCGGGGGGCGTGGCCGGCCGGTTCTTTCTGGGTCCCACCCCCTGAGTAGGTCTGGGTCCCACGGATCTCTACCGAGGTGGTACAGAGGATGGAGCCCCGGGCCGCGCCGTGGAGGCAGAGGGCCGGGAGGGCGAGGCCGCCCCACCCCACGCACAGCACACGCTGCCGCGGCCTCTGCCACGCACACCCCCACGCTGCTCCGCCCACGTGGGCGCCGGGGAGGAGGCTGGAGAAATGCGAAGAAAGGCTGGTACCCACCCTCCTGCCTGGCCGGCGCGCCCTGGGCGTACTCTGCCTCCGGAGATGGCGCACAGAGACTGGCTCCCGCGGGGCCGGGCACCTTGCCGGACGCCCTGCGTTCAGGCTAGCGGCCGCTCGGGCCTGCCGCGCCTTCGCCACCAGCCGCCTGACTCCATCGCTCCATCACTCCACCCTCCTGGCTTCGGGCTCCTGAGCCGGCCTCGTCATCCCTGATAGAGGCTGCCTCCCAGGCTGGAGCCTTTCGCCTAAAGACACCCCCCTCGCCCCCGCACACACATACACCACCACCACCATCTCCCCTCGCCACACACTCTAGTCTACCCTTCTGACTACCTTCCGCCGGCCTCTGCCCAGCTCTCTAAGCTCCAGAGATACTGTATCTAACCCTGGTCCTCCTCCGCCCCCCACACCCCTTCCATGCACACTCACAGGCACACTCTCCTTGACCTTTGCTCGTGCTCTTCCCTCTCCGGGAACTCCCCTCCTTTAACTGGACAGCTCCTTCTAGAACAAGGCAGGGAGAGCCCCGTGCCCCACCTGAGCTTTCCTGTATGGCAGAGCTGGACATACTGCTGCCCTATCTGATGGCCTCCGCCTCCCAGACCAGACTAAGAGGTTCTGGTGGAGGGCGGAGGAGCCTAAGCCCCTCGCAGAGGGATCCACCCAGAGTACATATCCGGCCTAAGTGGGGGGGCCTTCCGCCAACTCAGGGTGACCTGGTATGGGGCGGGGCTGTGGAAGGAGTTGGCTTCTTCTCCAGGGCCTTGGGCAGGTGGGTGGCTCTTCCATGAGCCCGGATGTACGAAGAAGAGGGACAGGTTTGGGGATGGGGTGGGATGGTCAGCACTCCCCCACTTCCCGCCCCCAGGATGCTTGCCCAGCAGGGCATTGTCAACTCCCAGAGACCTGCTGGTCTGAGCAAACTTTTCATTTTGTACAACTCGATGGAGGTTTATGGATGGTTGCACAGTTTTTGTTGTTGAGACGCCTGCATGTGGTCTGTAATGCTGAACATCTCTGCTCAGAGTCTGGGGGCAGCTCTTGCCTTGAGTCTTATCACAGCAAGAAGCCCCTCAAAGGGTCAGAGTGTGGGTCCCACAAATGAGCTCATTGCCATTTTCATCCTTCACCAACCATCCATGGCTCCCACTGCCTCCATGACCTCACAAGTTCCTCACATCCCGGCTTCCCTGGCCCACCTCTTCCTCTCCCCACCACAATCTCAGCCACACATGCCAACTCTGTGTCCCCGGATGCATCTTCCCACTTAGGTTTTCCCCACGTGCTGTGTTTTCTCCCAGAAATGATCCCCTCCTTTGTCTGTCTGGAGAACTCCTATTCATATGACAAAGCCCAGCTCTCATGTTACTTCTCTGTGGTGTTCCTTGACTCTGCCAAACGGATTGTGTAGTTCTCTCCCAGAACCTTATATCTGTACGTTGTATAGTATTTGTGTCATTTTTCCTTAAGCAGACCTTGCCCACCAGAGACTAGGGGCACAGTGAAGTCTGAGAGGCAGCCCCTCTTTGGTGGGGCTCCATCTTCCTGGGGAGGCCTTCACACTGGCATCGGTACTGCCAGCGCTGGAAGAGAGACATGCACAGAGGGAGAGAGCATGACAGCTGCCTTCCCCCGACCTGGAGGCATCATGAGGAGGAGGCATGATGGAGCCCGCTGTCTTAGCACAGAGCAAGTTGGGGCTGGAGAGGAGCGGAGGAAGGAACAGTTTCTGAGGAAGGCATAAACCAGCAGTGATTGCCGCCGTGTGCTATCGCTGTTTACCTCCCCGAGGACGGGCTCTCCCTCTCTCCAGGCTGTAGAGCCAGACTGCCTGGGTTCCCCTTCGGGCCCTGCCCCTTACTCATCTGCAACTGGGCAAGTGCTTCCCACCTGGGCTTTCTAACTAAAATGGGATGCCTTCCTCAGAGAGATTGGGGGTGACTGCAGTGTATCCTGGTTCTTCTCTGTCGGCCTCCTTCCCCACTGTGGTTGGGTCAACCTGCAGGGCTTCTGAAGCTGGACTCACCTGTGCCTGTTCCTTATGGCTGTGTGATCTTGGGCAAGAGGATTAACCTCTCTGAACCTCCATATCCTGTACAAATGAGGGCAGTGGTCTGTCTTTGGCTGAGTTGGTGTGAGATCAGAAGTGTAGTCTCTGGGCATTGGAAGCACTTAAATAAGTGGTCATGACAAGGAAGGAGGGTGTCATAAGTGATTTGAAAAAGATAAATCCTTTAGCTTTGTCACAGAGCAAATGGCCTGGTTGGAGGCCCTCTTTGTCCTTCGCAAGCTAACAACGTCACGCCAATAAGCTAAATATTCAATAAGCAGGAATGAAAGATGAAAGGGGTGGGTGCCGTGTTGACTAATCCCAACTGTGCAGACTTGTGTGAGAAGGTGCTGAGAGCTACATGCAGGAATCCTGAACTCAGAGTCCACTGGTCCCAGAACAGTTCCTTCGATGCCTCTTTCATCTAGACTTTCTCCCTGCTCAGTGTTGGGGTACAGCAGTTACAATAATTTCCACCCAATTCTTAGGAAAACTCGTTAAAAAAATTTTTTTTATTGAAAGATAGTTGATTTATAATGTGTTAGTTTCAGGTGTACAGCAAAGAGATTTAGTTATATATATATATTTCAGATTCTTTTCCATTATAGGTTATTACATATTATTGAATATAGTTCCCTGTGCTATGCAGTAGGTCCTTGTTGGTTATCTATTTTAAGGAAAACTCTTAATGGAACTAGTGATCATGAGCGGTGGCCACCAGCTAGGTGAGGTGGGCTGGGAGGGAACAGGGCTGGGTTAGAGGAGCTGCATTGAGAACCACCTCACACCTACTGGCTGTGTGACTTTGGGCAAGTCACTTAACCTCTCTGTGCCCAGTTCCTTTTCCTGTGATGTTCACATAGGGAAAATAGCTCTCTATTGTTGCTTAAACTCCCACTCCTGCCATGAATTATCTCATTTAAACTGCACAGCACCAGGCAGGGTAAGGATTATGTGAGGCCCTGACAAGCAGGGGCTGTGTCTGGAGGTGGAGCCAGAGGTGGAATTAAGCAGTGTGTGTGTGTGTGTGTGTGTGTGTGTGTGTGTGTGTGTGGGCGGGGGGTGGGGGGGGTGTTTCTCACTCCGGAGCTTAGATGTTGTTCCATGAAGCATGCTGATTCCAGTAATGGAAAGAAAACCTTCCTACAGGGCTAGTGTGAGAAATCAATCAGAGGAGCCTTCTCGGTGCTTTTAATAGAAACATGTTCTCTTAAAGGCAGTAGTAGCTATTGGTGTTGCTGTAGCCTGAGGTTCAGAAAAAAACCCCAAGGCAGACTAGCAGTGGGACCTTGGTTTGCCACTCTAGCCCTGAATGCCTTCTGAAAATGTTTTCTTTGCTTATGCCTTTCCAAAGCCAGATGGACAGCCCAGGGACTATGGGCCAGCAGGGAGGGGCAAGGACAAGGAAGGGGGCCCTGAGGGCCTCATGGTGTGAAGGGCAGGGGTCAGGAGCCCCTCCTGTGGGAGGTGGGAGGGGCACGAGTGCTTGCAGAGAGTAGCTCAGGAGGTAATTAACATGCTGGTTCTGAATCAACCTGAAAGCAGCAGAGAGAGGGCGCAGGGGTGCTCAGAGTGAGGGAGGGGCCAGCTCCCCAGTGGGGACAGTGGCTCTGTTCTTGTCTTTGGTGATAGTATTTATTTTCAGAACCGCAACAAGGAGTACTGTGCCTTTCATTGGTCTACAGAAATGAATTGAGATAAATGCTGTTTTTCTTAATTGTAACAGTTAACATTGGCTGAGCACTTACCAAGTGCCAGGGTGTCCGCAAGGTACTGCTCATCGGCCCACTGCTTGATTTTGTAAAGAAAGTCTTACTGGTACACAGCCATGTCCATTTGTGTACCTACTGTCTATGGCTGCTTTGGCTCTGTACTGGCAGAGTTGGGCAGTTGGAGAAGACACCAGTAAAGCCAGAAACATTTACTACCTGGCCCTTTGCAGAAGTTTGCCACCCTCTGGTCTGGGCTCTCCCCCTGGTTTGAGTTCATTCAATCCTGAACACAACCCCAGAGGGAGAAGCCCTGCATTTCCCATTTTACAGGTGGACACAGAGAGGCTGTGAAGCCTACCCAGGGTCACAGAACTGGTAACTGGGGAAGCAGGGATTTTTTCCAGCAGGGGAAGAATTTATATTTTTTATTAGCTTCTAACAGAATCTTACCATGTTCAAAGAATGTGGTCTGTATGATATCTATTTTTTAAAATTTGTTGATAGTTTCTTTATGTCCTAGTACCTGACCAATTCTTAAAATATCTTTGTTTCAAATATATAT